TTTTTTTATATAAACTTTGAGTGATAAAGCGAAATTGATGTTTTGATCGATATGAAATTGCAATGTAAGACGAATTTTGTATTTTTATGTAGGTAGGTCACGCAAAGAATTGTACCGTGCATTTTTATCTTAATACCGCGTGATCCTGAAATCCAAAGCTGATTTTGGTCGAGTGACAATCAAGTATTTGCACTTTGATCGATATTAGATTGCATTCAATGACGAATTTTGCACTTTCCTTAGGTTATACGCGACGTCTTGAACCGCGCATTTTAATCTAATTTCCCGTTTGATCCTGTCAGTGATAAATCCAAAGCTTATTTGGGTCGACTCGCTAATCTATTACACAAATTAATATTACATGAACTATAAACACTTTTTCACATTTTTTCGTTATAGTAAAGAAAGGTTTGATTTAGCGAAAAGCACGAAAAGAGCAATATTATTAGAAGACATGTTGTTTACGCGATTCGGTAAAGTTTTATTGTCTGAAAGTTCTTTGTAACCAGCACATTTAGACCTATTGGTTTGTAGGTTGATGAAGGATTCTAATTAAAAGCTATCTTAAAGACGATTGTATCTGATGCATCCAGTCGATGTGCGACCGGTTACAATCACATTTATTATAAGAAGCGCAACGCTAATCACCATTACCTTTGTTGTTGGTAATTGTTACTGCTACACTTAATCAAACTAAGAGCTAAAAGCGATTATTATTTGTAGACAATTTTGCTACAACAGTAAATATAATGTGGGCCATACGTATATTTGGAAGTATAATTATTCAAACGAAAGTAAGCAAGCAACCATTACTTCTCTGGGTAATAATTACAGTAAGCGAGCAGTGGGTAATTAATTACTAAGCGAGCACTCTGCGAAAATTTGTGTTTTATTCGTTCTTAAATTGCGATGAAATTCGAGTTTTGAACTATTCGAGTAAGTTACGCAACCTCTGTTCCGCACAAATTTATACAGTCAAGATAACTTTGAGTACAAATCACTTATGAGGTCACTTAACACAGTGGCATTACGAATTGAATTTCAATTGTACAAACATTGTAGATCATTGTGCTCTGTGTACACATAACCGCAAATTAAATTCCTTTACACACCAACTGTTTGGCTTGCTAAAAGCTTTTACCATGCACAATTTCATGCGTCAGTTTTAGATCGAAGTTTTAATTCATATCGATCTCTGTCAATGAAAGTAATGTCAAATGCCGGCAAGCTTTCATTAGCCAAGTCTGTCAGTTTGTTACAGCATGTGTTTGTCCAACAGCTGCAACGTGGGGCTAATCGAAAACATGATGTCATATATTACAAACAATCGCAATCACGTTATTAAGTGGTTGTCATAAGGCGCTCTGAAGAAAAGAGTTCAAGATCATAATAAAACAGGGATGTGCACTACTTCTTACCCTATTGTCCAGGACATCATTATCAAGATCTGAAGTCACATCGCCCTATTTTAGACGGCATGAAAATGTTAGAAATTCAAAGCTGTAATTAGTGTTTTACTACAAGCCGACATACCAGATATTCTGAGCCATCTTTATAAAAATCTGGTGGTTGAGCATCACCCTATAATTATATGGCATAAAAATGTTAGAAAATTAAAATTGTACGTTAATATAGAAATGGGATTTTTTTATGTCAAGCGACACGTACCCTATACTTTGAATCATCATTGTCAGTCCTGTCAACATTTGAAGTCGGTTGAGCTTCTTCAACCTGTGAGGAATACTTTTAATACGTTTAATTTGCATATAGTTTCTAATCCAGATTTCAAATGTAATATGTATACACCCTTTTAATAAGTACCGAGGTATTACGTTCTCCGCGAATTTCTTTTGTATTGTAAAAATTTCAAAAG